TGGGCTAAAGTTAAGCTGCTGATTTCTCACTCCATTCATCTTATATGTAACAGAACTGGGCACAGGCTTAGAAAATGACTAGCCTACTCTTCTATCAGGTGATGATGTGTCCTTGAGGTCCACATCCACATTAATGCAACAAACATTATATGTAATATTTAGTGAGCACTCATATGTATCATACACTGTTTATTTTACATTAACTCGTTTAATAATCTTATAACACTCTGAGGAATCTACAATATCACGTCCATTTAATAGAGGAGAAGCTGATGAGTTTATACAAGTTAATCAAAATCACAATCCAGTACATTGCAAAGGATTCAAACCAGACAGTAAGAACTAGTGTCAAAGTGAACTGGTATGTTCTTAATCTCCTTTACTCACATCTACATGTATTCAGAATATTTTGTTGTCTCAATATTTTGCAGAAGGACAAATAACTTTGGGTAATATTAAACCCACTTTGGTATAAATAAAAATCTTAAAGTAATATAGAAGTCATTCCTTATTTTTGCCTGGAATAGAAAATACCATAAAGCTGTTTTTCCTCAACATTTTCAGCAGACCATTGTTGTTTCAGTATTTTGCAAGAGGACAAATGAACTGGGGAAATATTACCTGCTCTGTATATTCAAACTATACTTTATCACAATAAAATTCTATGAAGTCCTTTGGTGAAATCACCCCTTTGAAATTTTTTTTCTATTAAAATGTGACCAAATAATAAAATTTTAGGTAATTTATTTCATCTACTTTAAGCTGCCAACATTTTAAAGATCAGCGTTTAATTATATACCACTAAGAAATAAGTTTCCAATTAAACTACACTGTAACACTTGCAGTATAGTTTAGAATTATCTAAAGACAAGAATTATCTTGTCTTTATTAAAGAAATTCATTTAGGAATAAACTAATTCATGCACAGCTTTTTTTTTTAATCATGTCATTCTTGTATATGCATGGAATTTTTTTAAAATAAGCAAGAATATTGTTCATGTACCTTCTTTGCATCTGGAGGCTAACTCTTTTGAATCACTTTCAATGCACATTTATTAGCATGTACACATTTTCCATCCACTGTCATTCTCAGTGCCATCACCATGATTGATAATGTAGACTTTCTTAAAATATTATCACTGAAATTTTCTTCCAAGTTCTTGAAACCATTCAGTAAATTTTCACCTAACAATTTCCTTTCTTTCTTCTTTATCAGAATTAACAAAGGAAAATTTCTCAGGCAATAATTAGAATGTATTTAAATGTCCTTTCATTTAAATGTCTATTATTAATTACTGATACTGCATTCGGCTAGCTAACCAGCAAAGAAAAACAACAAGTTTGCAGATGTTCAAATAGTAACAACTACAATAAAACTGTCTTATCCCCAACAGCAATTGTTAGATGCCTTTTATTGTGGAATACATCACTATTTCAGACATAGTATATATGTCGAGCATTGAAGAAATAGTAATATCTAGCATCCTGTAACACTAGTGTTGGATAGGACATAATTTGTGAAGCATTTTATTTTGGTCAATTGCACACTGAAATCAGTAGAGTAACTGTCAGTTACATCATTTACTGATTTTTTTTTTTCAGTAAATTCAAGTTTGTGCAGCATCTTGGATTATGATCTCTCTGGAGAGGGAAAATGGATCCAGTTCTTCAAGGAATGATAAATACCATGTTTTGCATTACTACCCAGGGAAATATATCTCCATATAGGTTTTTCAGAGGGTCTCCAGTTTTATGATCCCATTCTATTTAGTATCAGACAGATGTGAGTGATATTTAATCCTTCTTTTATTTTCTAAGTAAGCTTGAGTATGATATTTGAGCATTCAAAATCTCAATTCTTTCATCCTTAAGCAAACCAAAACCAACAATAGATAGGGATGTTATAGCACTATAATAGAAAAACATATACAAAAATGTTTATTATAGAGTTTAAGTTCCTTAAGTAATGTTGTATCTGTAGTTCTGAAACTAACCATGTCTTATCAAGCCATGGTTGGATGGACAAATGCTTGTACTGTTCTAAAAAATGTTTTAGATGTATTTATAAATTTTAAGTTCATATGATACACTGTGTAGAATTTAGAGGCATGTCTTATAAGCTATAATGTTAGGGATATTTGTAAGGTAACAGTAAACTAGTTGCTAGAAAAAAAAAACCAAAAACATGGCTTTCCCGTTTTTAAGTCCACAAAAGAAATTTCTCCTGAGATTTTTTAATTCAAAACAAAACAAAACTATATGAGGACATACTCAAGGACTCCAGCATATCCATAATGCTGACACAGTAACAATTCAAAGTTTTTTTTTTTTTATTTACTCTCTATGAAAACAAATATTGGCCCGCCCCTGGTGGCTCAAGGGGTTGAGCGACGCTCTGTGGAGCTTTCCTCAGCCTCTGCAGCGCCGGTTCGATCCCGGCTGGCCGGCGAGGGTCCCACATGGTGCAGCAGACCTCTCCTGTCGCGCCTGCTGCTCCCCTCAGCAGTGTATTTCATCAGTCTGCCTGTTCTGTGCCCTGCTCTCTCTCTGGTGAATCCTCTCACCCTCCCGTGCATCTCGCCTGTACCCCGGTTCTTGTATAAATAAATCTTTTTTAAAAAAAGAAACAAATATTTTATATTTCACAGGTGTCAAGATACTGTCATCTAAATATATACTTATAATGTTATACTAAGTTGATCCTAGATAAAATTTAGATATAAAAGTGAATATGACCTATAGATTGGCCAGTCAATGAGCTATACTAGAAAACTGGTTAGTGTCTTTTAATAAAGTAAACTAAAACTTGTGAATCATTTTAAAATGTGTTCATTATGTGTACACAGGACAAAAAGTAACATGGTTGGATATACATTAAAGTCAGATATCCCTGCCTAACCTCAGGGTCTTAGGAAATGTGGAGGAGTGTACAAAATGTCAGGTCAACATTACTATCTCTGACATAACATCTCACTACTAAGTAGGAAAATGTAGTAGAGAAGGAAAAAGTCATCCTCACCAAAATATTATAAGAAATCCATAGTATTTTGGAGCACTTCTAAAGTTGATATAAAGTGGTGATCCTGGACTAGGACAAAAGCCAAGTTGCAGTTGTAATGCCAGGGTGGGCTTTGAAGTGCTAGGGCAAAAATTATTTCGCTTTCTTGGTTAATCTCTGTCATTCTGTACCAGACACCCTTTACCAAATGGGATGCCAACAATTAGCATGGTCTCTTACATATGTAAATTATATGTAAATGAAACTTCAAATTTACTTCCAATCAGAAAACTATTCATAAAACCCTTCAAGGATAAAATTGTGGAGCCAGGACTACTAAATCTTAAGATGATGAAAAAGGAAGGATACTAACGTATAAATAAGCCACCTCAATTAAATTTTCCCACTAAAATGAAACCAGAATAGTAATACTGTTGCACTGTGTTTTCAGAGGATGTAATCTCTTTTTTTCTGGATGTAATGACATCTCCTTATATGATTTTGAAGACTATTAGATTATATTATTTCAATTACTGCATCACTTAACAAAATGAAAAATTCCTTTTGTGATCTGCTTTGTAAATATTTCCAAGCCTCTTCTTCTGAAGGTTGAACTCCAGAAAGGAAATTCTGGCTAGAATTATTTTGAAAGAAAATATTTATCTGTTTAAAAAGCCCAAAGACCTTGTTGTTTTCTGTCCAAACACCAGCTAGAAAAATCAATTTTTTTTCTTTTGGAATGAAATGATTCAGCTGCTTAGGCATTGTCTGAATGTTTTCTAAAAGCAGTAAGGCAATAAATTTTGGAAAAACAAAAATTTGGAAAAGAAAGTGCAAAGAGAAGGACAATAGTAGGTGATAGGTTTCAAGAGTGTTACCACTTTTGAATATAGTGATCCAAATAATGAATTAGATGAAGACATTTGGGTTATCTAAACATTTGTTACTTATTTTATAGCATGATTGATTGTTTTTGCAGCCTGTTTTTGTAGGATATCTTAAATTTGGGGATTTTTTTTTAATGCACAAATTCTGGTTACTTATTGGTCTTAACCAAGTTATGCATTGAAGACTTCTCAAAATACTATAACAAATAATTGTAACCTTATGGTGATTTCAGCCACATTTGATATATGGATTTTATCTATTTAAGTAATGATAATAATGAGCAAGTCATGTGAACATATTATCTTTTTGTATAAAAATTAATGTTTTTTATTTATTAATGTTTTTAACTTTCTGACTACAAAACATCATTTTATGATCTTTAATAGAAGCATTCACTTTGATTTCATATATTCTGTTACTGTTTTACTTAATGTAAAATTAAGTAATTTTAGTATACACATGTGAATATATAAATATTGTTTATGTTTGTTTCTTTATGCATATTTACTAGCTTGCTATCCAAGGATTTGAAGTAGCTTACATTAACTTATAAAACAAGAAAAAAATAGTAAAGAATAGACTAGGTCATTGATGAACCTAGTTACAACAGAAGTTCAATAAAGGAAAAGGGAAAATCAGAACATATAAGTACCATCCATTATAGAGACTCTATACAAATTTCTCTTGAAGTCTGCAGGTAGTGAATAAATGACAGTGTAGGGAGGATATTATCATTAGCAAAAGCTTTTGAAATTTTTATTAAAGAGAACCAACCACATTATCAAACAGCTCAGTTAAGTTTTGATTATGAGATTCTAAATTAATTCCAATTTTTACTTTGTTGATTAATTATTCAATCTAAGAACACAAGTACTTTGTGATAAATATTTGCATTTGAAAAGTCACAACCAATGGAAGAACTTTTTTTTTTTATCTGGTTAATGTACTAATTAGATGATGGCAAGAAAATCAGTGCGGTAGCTGCTGCATATGCAATTGAATTTGATGGAACTGTAATTATAGAGAAAAAACTGATAGCAAAGTAAACAGAGTGAAATAGTGCTAAAACAGAAATAGCACAAACTGATATGTGTGTTTCTCTGAAAAATTCCAGGTGTTGTCAAAGTGGATTATGGAGATGTATCAGTCAGAAAAACGCTAAGAGAAAATCTGAAGTGTAAGCCCTTTTCTTGGTACCTAGAAAACATCTACCCGGACTCCCAGATACCAAGGCGTTATTATTCACTTGGTGAGGTATGAATTATTTATTTTGGTTAAGTTATAAATACATTTTGCAAAATGGAGCATTTTCTAAGGAACCCATTATTTTTCATGTTATGAATAAAATGCTTTAAGGATTTCAAAATAAATCTATTTTAAAGGACTTTTCATATTTTACAAGGACCATAATTTTCATCATAGGGATTTGTAAAAGTAAGGGGACAGTTTTAGACTGAATAAATAGCATTTTCATGTTTTTTTCTAATGGTTCTGAAACTATTGTCATATTAATATTATACTCTTAAAATTTTTTGTGAACCACAAAGAACTTTTGTTCATGTGAGTTATCACTATTAATATTTACTGTATTGAAATTAAAACTGAGAACTTGAAAACCTATTTATTAATTCATTAAGAGGATGTAATAATCCATGACATACTAAGAGAAGTAACATTTTTTAAAATTTTCCAAATTAAAGTCAATTTGTAAAAGGTTAGTATTTGTATTTTTATAAAATTCATTAATGTCTGGATTAAAAGAATATATTTTTATATCTGCTTTGATATTCAATATATTATATTATCACCTACTATTTAGCCTCTGGAAGATTCCTGGTATATTCATTGGAAGAGTAAAAACTGCAAGCAATATCTTGGCAGTACTACTAAAATTGCATTGACCTTGTGGATCTACTGAGAAACATTTATCTGCACCATTCTTTTATAGAACATATAGAATCAATAGAAATACACATTTGATTTAAAAAAGGCACAGTTGACTTCATCATAACATAGAAACATGTGCACATAATATATGTTCTGTTGCTCCAAACAAGATGTATTGCATTATGAATTAAATGCTCCATATTTGTAATTTCCCACTTAGTAGAGATTAGATTTGGGAATCAAAAATAAGTTATTATGGGTTATCATTAAAGTATTTCAGCAATAATATAATACATTTGGAAAGTAATTATTACATTTGCTTTTAGATTGAAACTGGAATTGTGTAGGTCATAATGATGGAATATCTAAAAATTCAATGATATTTGATATATTTTGTGATTCACTTGCAAAAATAAATTCTGTAAATCTATCCACAACTTTATCTGCTCTATAACTTTAATTCATAAACATACCTTGTTTATGATTAACTATAAAGTCATTTTTCAAACATTCAAGCAGAACATAGCCCTAGCTGAATTGTTTTCGAAGGTGTTTTCTCTGTGCTACATCCATGCCCTATTTGCCAAATCTCTGCATTAGCCATGTAAATATCTCTATAGAATCTCTGTTCACATATATTTGACCTTAATGGAATGAAGAAGGTCATGTGTAATAACAATGAATTCACCCATTTGTAGGTGGTACTTTCAGTCACTTAGCAGTCCTGTGCCTCGGGGTTTGTTTTGTTTTTTTTACTTATTACTTTGTATTGGGGAGGGTTGTTCCCTTGTTTTCAAATATGTAATATTCCCCTGCTAGCACTAATGTCACAGAGATTTATTTTCAATACTTATAATACACAAAGCTACTTTTAAAACTAGAACACTTTACATTATAGTTATTATAATCTAGTTCTACAAAAGATCCCCAAGAAAATATCTAATACACTCATTTCTCCACTGAAAAGTTTGTTGAACCTAGGCATTTACAAATGTGATAAAAATCCAATTTTATGCTTTCCTGGAATACATCAATACATCCTAATAAATTGACTTTCTGAGGAAGTGAAAATAGACTTTAGTGTGGCAAATTCCTTTTGTGTAACCTGCAGATTTTGTATTAAGTATCTTCTGAAATAGATCAGGTGGCCATATTTAAATTTACAGAAATATTTTGAGAAGATTTGAAAGAGTGAGATTGTGCCTCTCTGGGTTTTTGAAATATAAGAGACGGCATGTTGTATTGGAAAATCCCAAGCCCTGGAGTCAAACAAGCAAAGATTAAATCCTGGCCTCACAGCTTATGACTTTAGTGACACTAGATACCTTCTCGTACCTGTCAGCATCTTAAAGTTAATGATGCAGGGTGATAGTGATCTTGAAGATATAGAGCACCTAGCACAATGCCTCTTAAGAAGTAGTATCAGTGGTTATTAAGCTACCATTTATTGATTTCTTACTCTATCTTTTATATTAGTGCTTTGTAACATTTGTATTATTTAAAAATTATAACTCTGTGACTTGAGTTTCATTACCACCAATTAAATGTGGAAACTTACAGTAAACAGTTTATATGATTGACCTTTGGGTCATAGAGCTAGCTAACTATTGGATTCAGGATCCAAATATGTGTTAGTATGACATTAAAGCTCACTTTTTCTTATAACTAGAAGGAGAAAGATACTCACTATATTGTAGTCATTCAAAATGTCTTTGTTAAATAAGAGCTTGAGCTGGAACATGTATTATGTGCTAAAGATTCAAAGTCAAATGTGGAAAGACCTTTACTCTTAAGTCATTATACTAAAATGGGGGATGAGATGAGGATGCAAGAAAGAATTAAAAAAAAGTAGAAATAAAGTGCTATATGAGTTATATAGGCATGCTATAAACTACTGTTTGGAAACCCATTAAATTGAAAAATCCGTGAGATATAGTAAATTTTGAAGTTGCTGGGATATTAATGTACTGTAGTTTTCCACTTTAAAACTAGCCTTAACAAGATGCAATCCAGCATCTGTTTCCATGGAAACAGAAGGACAACTTCACCAAGCATATTTCCTAATTCATTTTGCATAGTCATTTATACATAATTTAAAATGAGCATTTTGATAATGAATTTGGAATGGCCATTAGTTATTTACTATATATTTCTCTTTCTTACTGTATGTCATTAACCTTTATTGGAAAAAATATAAAAAATACTTATTTTTTTCTTCCAGTATATAAAGACATTTTGTCTCAAAATAGTGAGAAGCTTAAAGTGGTATTATGTATCCAAACTACTTATCAAGACAATCAGAGTATCTCTTTGTAATATATTATATGTACTCCTCACTTGATTTCAAGTGAAATTGTTAGGACTTAGCAATTTACAACTTCCCTACATTTCAATGTTTTTCAAATTCTTTATTTTTAATATTGCAGTATATTGGTGAATATAAACACTTACCTGTCCATTTCTCTTTATAACTTTCCCAGATGTATTGAAACTTAGAGGTAAATATAGTATTCAGCTTTTCTATTATTGTATATTATCACAACAAAATAATCACCTGTAGTTATACCAGACTGCTGTATCTTAATTTCTTATGTTTGCATTTTGCTCAGGTAATTGAAATATTACTTTATCCAGCCCATGAATTACATGCAGTTTCCAATGGGAAATTAAAAGCTGTTCAATTGCTTCGAACTAAAGCCTTTAAGTAGCTTAATGAAGCATGTGCCTTTTAGACTCAGTAAGCAGATCATAATGGAATAAGGAAATCAAGCTCTTTGCAGCATTAAATTCTTTCTTAACTAGCCCTTTAGCTTATTTGGATTTAGCATGTGGGGCTCTGGTCTTATAAATATAAATGCTAATTTAAGTATAAGATTGAAAAATAACATTCTAAAGTAGTAATGTGCCATGCCCAATTTTTGGCCTTTCGGGGAAAAAAAAAAAAGTAATGTGAACTATATAGAAGACAGGAATATCAGGGTAAAAGAATAGAGAGGAGGTTTTTGGAATCAACTGGCTAACTCTTTGGGGCTGGATATTTGCATTAGAAGATATTTGAATATTAATCTGTGTGATTTGCATTGCCTGCTTCCCCTCAGCTCTTCTTTTTACTCTTCAATTCTTTTTTTTTTATTTTTAATAATGAATTTTATCCTCTTCTATTCTTTAACCTTAGTACCTAGTTGAGATCCTTACACTTACGGATTTGTATTCCTTAAATATTATTGAAGAGAAAATTTAAATAACTGAAAATAGACATCTGTGAAGCCGCTAGATTACAAGGAGTAAATGTAAAATCAGTTACTGCCAAATGCAGAGGCTAAGCCACTTAGAGCTTTACCCTCTCTGTTGGTAATCAGGAGATCTATTTATAGGTACAGACTTCTTGACCCTTTAGTAGGATAACTAGCAAGAAAGTTTCATTTGTAGATGACTTACACAAATGGGGGCATTCTTTCTATCTAAATTTTCTTTCCATAAGTCCTGGAGACACTGTAGATAATTTTATTCAGAGGTTACTGAATATTCATATGTATAAGCAGACTGTCACTCTAAATCAGATGTTAACCTTAAAAAATGTAGGTCTGGGTAACCCACTTGTGAACAAAATGAACAATTTTATTATTTGAAGAGTTTTTTTTACTTTACAATGCTGATAATTAGACTAGAACTAATTCTAATTCTGTTTTTCAAGTATGTATTGATATTAATAAATGCAACAAACTAAAATACCAGTTCGGCATTCACCAAATTCTCACAGGATTTTTGTTATTTGTTCTTGTTACCCACTAGACTGAATGAAATGCTTTAATTTAATGTCTCTTACTTTTTTGTGAAAGGAACTTAAGTTATCACATATTAAGAATTTATAGTCATAATCAGGACATTCTAAACCCATGTCTATACAAGCAAAGTTGGACTGGGCTTGTGAAATAGAGATTTCACATTCATCCTTTGTGATTTGTTCATAATTTAGTAAAGAGAAAATACGCTTAAATGCATATTCACCAACAATTATAATATGGAATCATTAACATTAACCTGTAAAATTTGCTGCAAATGTGCTTATTTCCTTCTTCACAAAGTAAAGAAAAACCAAATGAGGTTGGCATATGTAAAATAATGAGTAACATAAGGTAAAATGGAAGGATAAGCATGTGTTGGAGCAATTAAAATGTTTTATTTGTTTAGTCTCTTATCTGTAGCATGGATGTTACATATTAGTTTTGAAACAAAGATTTGACTGTAAGGGGAGCGTTTGCCTGTTTTTTAGAATTAACGTTCCTATTGCTTGATGTTGCAATCCAGCAGAGGGAGCAAAAACTAATGAACAAATGATGTGTAGTGGTAAGAACACCACCACTGATGCTGTTGAAGAGTACAAACATTTAGGAAAAGTCTTGCTGATGAAAGAAATCAAATGACAAGTGGAAAAAAAAAATGTTTTCTAAAATTTCTAAAATTGTTTTTCTAGCCATAAAGTATACATAAACAAAGAAGTCTCAAAGTAGACAGCAGTTAAATTGGCCCTGTGTCATATATTCAAAGCTATACCATCACTTAAAGAATGTGTCAAAAGAAATTTTTAGATCTCAGAACTACTGTCATGCTTTGTTTAGTTACTACAATAACTCTTCAAGGAATTTCTAATGGATAAACAGTGATTGGTCACCAAGATTTTTCTCAGAATTAATGGCATGAGCAAGCAGTCAGTATTGTTAGATAATATGGTATCAGTGACAATATCAGGGCCTTTCCTGAAATTTACTCATTTGATTAAACAACATACTTTGGGATTGAGGCCCCAGGAAGTTCATAGAAATATTCTATTTTAAAAATTACAAAAGATCACCCTTTTGATCTGAATCTCAAAAGATGGGATGCATAGTTTGAATTTTCCTGTATGCCAACAGTACACACAAGTGACCATTTCTTATTTTGAAGAAAATATAGCAGATTCCCATAGTGTTGAACTCACTGACTTGAGAACCACCTAGTCAGTCACACCAAGCTGCCTTCTATATGTGCTTGGATTTTTAAAAGTCTGGATTTCATAGTCCTAGTGACTTAAACCTTTCAAATTAAATATTATCCCTATTTTTTCCAGATGTCCAGATTGGCCCATTTTCCAGATGATAGGTTCTTTCTATTTTCCTATTTTTTTTTTTTAATGAAACTAATGATATTCCATTCCCTGTTGCTCCATGCCCCTTCCTGTTTTTATCCAATGTCATCTTGGTCATGGCCAGAAATTTTTACCATAACCTCACTCCAGCAGTCTGGCACTCAGCATAAAGAACACTTTGCTCCTTACCTTCCTGACCTGGGTCCCCAGTCTGATTGTAGGCAGCTCAGCTTTAAGGTATCTTGGTGCATGTGTCATCATCATTGTCTGGATGGCCTGTCATTACCTGCAGCTCTGTCCAAGCAGGACCAAACCTCCCATGTTCCTTCCAGGATTCCTTTTAGACAAATAATGCCTGCCTGTCTTTAGATGTCAGGATTGGGCAATTTCCAAATCAATTTTAACAATTTTCAGTGCCTGTTTTGGACCAATTATTTAACTTATATTTGTGTATTCATTGTGTTCATTAATAAGAATTGAGTAATCATTTGGCTGTAAAATTTAAGTTAGCTATTATACTGAGAACAATGCATGGCACATCCAAAATCAAAATACTTGCTAATTATTATTATTTCAGTGGTGGTGTTGGTGGCCATGTCCCCTGACAGCTTTCCTAGACCACTGACTGCTGTCTCTAGTATTACAGATTTGACCTAAATTCCTATATCGCAGCCTCTCAGTACCTGCTACATTCTAAAGGACAGGTAATATTACACATTCACAAGTTATCAAACCATGTTGTGGAAAAGTTAGAATATATGAAAAATAGATCAGACTTCTTTACCTGAGCTCCCAAAATAAGTCAATTCTACCATCCAAACAAAATGAGAATCTAGGTTGTCAAAACCAAAAGTTGATGAATAATGTTGACAACAAAATTAGGTGGCAATTATTCTCATGCATCCTAAAATATGAGATGTCAATTTCATGACCATGTGATTCTACAGTCTTCTCAGGAGAAGGGGAAGCAATAGATTGTTTGATAGAAATGAGAACAGGATAACACCCAACTTGCCAATAGATGCTCATAAAAAATTGTTGCATGGCAATTTGATAATAGTAGCTAAAACTGGGGGAGATATTAACATACTACCTAGTTTGCAAATCAGTGAAAAGTCTCTTTTTCTAATGTCTGAGTGTCTGAATATTCTGTGACCTGTGAATCCTTGAAAATCTCTAGGTGAATCTCTATCTCAGGAGACACTTCAGGAAGTAAGCCCAAGTTGAGGGAGTATGGACAATAGGGGAATGAAATGAAAGTTCCAGGTAAAAATGGGAGAAATTAGGAAATTTTAAAAAATAGAACATTTTTTCAACTCTTTAATAAAGCATTTGGGTAGCAGGTTTAGACATATGAAGTTATGGATGGTCTTCTGTGTAAGCATTTCCTGTCAGAGATAGCTGGAAACATTAACCCTTAAACCTCTCCCCTGGGTAGTGGAGGAAGAAGTTTTGCTTTGAAAATTTACTAAAGAGTAAGATAACCTACATCTACCAGATGTCCCATTGAAATGCTACTGCCAGAGAGTCAACTAAGCTGAATATGGCTTTGATTCTTCTCTTGTCCAGCAAAGACAAATGGCTCAGCCTGTAACCCCTGTAATTATTAACCAGTATCTATTCAGACACCTAGCAGAGATTCTTTAAATCGTATTTCATAGCTACATCGAAAGATGAATTACTCATTTTATGAGATATTTCTTCTACTAAATATTGAAGCATTACATGATTCTATACATTTTAAGACTGCTGAATCAATAATAATAGCAAATAGCACTGTTAAATATATGTCTTTGTAAAATGTAATCAAAAATGTCTATTCTAGAGATTTAAAAGCAATTCAACTTACATATTGTGAATCACAGGCAGGCTAATTTACTACATACGTCATCTGTTACGTTGCCTTCCTCAATCCTAGCCAGCTACAGGTCCTGAAAAATCCATAGTCTTAGTCTATAAACTCATCCTCCTCCTGTGCTCAAACCAACCTAAGTCAGATGAAGGATGCAGTTTAGACTTAACCGAGTTGATCCTCTGTAGAAGTTTTTGATCTTATTCATTTGCCAATAAAATGAAACTTGTACCTAGAGCATAGAAATTAAGTAGATCTATCCAAGTAATGTATGAACAAGCAGTAAAATATGCAAGTCAGAATCAGAGAAAAAAACTCTTCAGAAGTAAAAAGCAAGTACAAATACACACTTGGGGTTCAGGTTAAAGAAAAATCTAAAACATACCAGTATTAGAAAGATTGTTCTTTTTTTGTATTCATTTGTGCTTGATTTAGTAATTTCAGCATCTTCAAATACAATGGATGGCTTTTGTAATTACGCTTGGCTCAAATATGTATTAACTTTATGTTAATTATGGGACTAATGCAGCATTTGAGTGTAAGTCAAGAATGTTAAGTTTGCAGTTGGCAATTTAATCTTGCTTTTGAGGAATTTTAATGAGAAATCACCATTTACGTTGTAATAGTTTTTGTTGGAGTCAAATGTTTTCCATTTAGTTTGGCATTGGGAATGAAAAAGATGCATGAAAATGTTTTAGTTACATAAATAAACAATGTAATCAATCTTTATTAGTATATAGAATGGAACATCTTGTAATGAAGCAATCTAAAGAGACATAAATTTGAATGTTAATTTATTTAAATTTCTTTGTACATGGTGCTATAGGAGTTCAAGAATAAACTATGGCTATTTGAGTAGAATTTGGAAGCTGTCCAAATTTTAAAAGGATTTTGGGACGAATTCCTAATTTAGTAGAAGGTATTTCCTTCTACTCTGATTCTGTGCTATAAACAGAGTGCCTTTTGATTAGAAGCTGGTGACAATGTCAGTGCTGTTCAAGTTTTCATCAATAAGAGTTTAGAAACTTGAATGTATTTAAGAACTTACATAGAAAAGGAAAAGGAACTATTTAAAGTAATAAATTCTTCGAGAAATTATCTTGCAAAATATTGTCATTAAATATGTTCTTTAAAAAAATCAAAAAATTTTTCTTATATCATCTTATTTATATTTTTGCATGTGTCTTTTTTAGATAAGAAATGTTGAAACCAATCAATGTTTAGACAACATGGGCCGCAAGGAAAATGAAAAAGTGGGTATATTCAACTGTCATGGCATGGGAGGAAATCAGGTAAACTCTCTGTTTTTATCAACTTTATATATTTTGTGTGGAAATATTGTGAAAAATATCAAGGTAGGCCATGGCTCACATAGCAATGACAATAAGGTCTTAGATTAGCAAATTAATGGACATTTGAATCAGGAAATTATTTGGCTATCTTATCCCAAGTATCTTAAGAAAGCACTACAGATTTTAATTAAAAAAAATTAAATTAACCCACATTTGAGGATAATCAACTATTTTAGACTTATTATCCCATGCATGAGCAAGTGAGGACGACATTTTATTTTGTTAACTAAATAAGATGAATAATTTCTCAACAACTGCAGTATTTTCCCAATGGCGATTATTCTTTTGCAGATGTTTACATATATCACATTTTCTATGGGTAGTTGAGGTTCTATAAAATTTTCAAGTTATGTTTTTTTAAGGTTTATTTTATTTATGCATATAAGAACTTGGGTGTAGGCCAGAGATGTGGGGGAGGGGAGTTGAGAGGATTCACCAGAGACAAAGTGGCAACAGAACAGGTGAGTTGACTGAAATACACTGTTGAGGGGACCAGCGGGCAAGACAGGAGAGGTCTGCTGAGCCATGCAGATTAGCTCCCTGGCCGGGATCAAACTTATGCCACAGTGGCTGGTGATAACTGATAATGCTGACTTTAACCACTGTGCCACCAGGGAGGCCCATGGTTCAATAAAATTTTAAAGTACACAGATAAGCAAATTTCTTGCATTTTGCTTTGGCTTTCTGAAGATGTGTTTTGGACCAGGTGAAAATAGAGTATTTAGATAAGATTGGTGGCTGACTAAAAATCTAGACAGCTTTTATGTGTGTGAGTCCAATTATCTGAGATGTATCAGAATATCACAAGGATCCTTGTGTTCTCCTTCTGCATTGGAAACTGGCTGTATCAATTTGGCCACTTGGAAGCTGTTTGGCTTTGAGTTTCTGGGTAAAGTGTCCCTGCTTCCATGCCCAACAGGTCGAAATTTGTGAGATTTATAGCAAAGCCGAATTTGAGATAGCCGATCTTCTGTAGATAAGTTGTTTACAAAAGTCAAGGAGAAACATACTAATGAGTAATTTATCTAGTGTGTTAGAGTGAACTAAAGAAGCAAATGCTATTCTCCCCATCACAATATTATTGTTATGTTTGTGATACAGCTCATGTTTCAAGTGTCTATACAGAAAGCAAGAAGATAAAAGCTCTTTTGGATTTTGTACCGTACTTCATGTAGTACTTCTATGAGTCAATGAAAATCGTTAAGGAAGTTTCTTGTTAAAAAAAAAAAAACCTAACAACAACAACAACAAAAAAAAAAAATACTAATTAAAATCCTAATTAGTGGCCCTCCCCCGTGGCGCAGCGGTTGAGCGCTGGGTTGTGAAGCTGCCCGCGGCCTCTGCGGCGCCGGTTCGATCCCCGGCTGCTCCCCGGCCACCGGTGGAGGGTCCCACATGGCGCGCAGACCTCTCCTGCAACCCGCTGCTCCCCTCAGCAGTGTACTTTGGTCCTTCTGCCTGCTCTGCTCCCTGCTCTGGCTCTGGTGAATTCTCTCACCCTCCCGCGCTTCTGACTGTACCCCGTACTTGTATAAATAAATAAAAATAAAAATAAATCTTTAAAAAAATCCTAATTAGCATTCCAAAATTTCAATGCAAGCAAGAATATCTTTAAAACAAACTTTCTAGATTACACCATGGAAAAATAACCCTAGGGAAGAAGATGGTAGAGACATATAGATAGAACAGTTAAAGAATGTTCAAAATAATTGAATTTATTTTATTAGGTCATAATAAATATGAGAAACCTGTACTGCCAAAAATGAATGGAGTCCTGATAAATTCAGCCAGAAATGAAAAATACAGCTAAACTGTCAAGAGTACTAAATGTGTAGGGGTTTCATTGTTTCATGTAGTAAGAATCTGAAGCTTGTTAACTGTTGATGTTAGGCTATGTCCTCAATGATTCCATCTAGAAACCAGAAACTTATTTTCTTTCCATTCTTCAATCCTTAAAGTTATTTTAAACATCAGCTAGTCACAAGAGGGCTGCTGGAACTCCAGATAGCTTGTTCACATTCAAGGCAGGAAGGAGTGGGATTAGGGAAAAGCTGCAGTAAGCCATATCTGTCCTTTTATTAGGAAAAGCAAAAGCCTTTCAAGAGGCTGAACACACCTCCTTCTATATCCTCTTGGCCAGAAATGTGTAACTTGGTTACCACTAGCATAAAAGCTCTATTTCACATCACACTCGGATGGCTGCTCCTCACAGCTCATTTCCCATCGATATTGAGTGGATATTTAGAAGTATCTTCCTTAATGTGTTTCAACAACTTATGAAAAAAAGTCAGCTGGTCATCTGTACCAGAATAACCTACAGTATTCCAAGAGGGAAATACTATTTGTGATAGCACCTGATTCCAATGCACATGAAAATGAAAAAGGATGATAACTCAAATGAATTCTCCTCCTACATTCATTAGTTTGTCATGTAGTGTTAGAACAGATAGCCAGTCACATAACTAATACCTACAATTTTATAAATGACATAAAGCACCTGAACAATTAAAATTACCACTATTTATTTGTGAATTTTCAAATACCCAGAAATAATCTGCCCTACTGTACTATAAACTTCATGTTAGCAGAAGCTGTATCTTACTCCTCTCTTCATCCCCAGCAGCTGGCACAGTGCTTGGGGAATGGTTTGGAACTAATTATTATGAGTCAAGTAAATAGATGAAAGAATGCTTGGTCAGAACAATGGATTTACTATAGTACTATGTAGACATCAGCAAAGAATGCTGTTTCTGTTATAGTAATCACAGGAATATAAAGAAACCAATCTCAGAATTCATAAAGCGAGTGAACAAAAAAATAATAAGTAAAAAGAAAAACATACCTGCATATATTTTGTGTTTCTACATTATGAATTTAATAGTGAGATAGAAATTAAAACCAATGTTTTTATCTACATCAATACTTATTCATGTCTACAAATATATGTACAAGAATATTTTAAGTCCTTTTATTTATAACACTGGAAGCAACTAAATTTTTGCCAATTGGCAAATGTTTAAATAAATCATTTTGTAACGGTAGTATGGAATACTATGTAGTCATCAGAATGACTGAGAGAGGTCTATATATACTGTCAAAAATTGAAAAGAGAGGAATAATTAATCCAGAGCTCAACATGAATAATTTGGCTTATGACCATGTTTTTCTATGTAGTAAATGTAATGTCTATATTTATATAAATGCTATATAATCTATTAGGATTGTATAGAAATGTATCTGGAATATATATTAACTTTGAAGACAAGATTGATTTACAGTAGGAAATTTCACCTTTACCCCCTCCCATTTTTCTGATATATGTATCACTTTAACAATTTAATTTTTAAAATGGAGAAAATTAAACTGTTAAGAATAAAAGAAACCATTTTTAAGGATTAATCTGACCTAATTGATTGGGTAACTTATGATCAGTTACTTACTATTTTTTGAAATTTAATATTTTATTATCTATAAAAGGGATAAAAGATTTTTCCCTAAATTTTTCCTCTAAAGATTAATGAAATGTGTAAAACACTAACACTAGTTGGTATTTACTAGAAGTTTGATACATATTGGTCTGTTGCCATTAATTAATTTCTCTATTATTTCCATTTGTGTTCCCATTACTTTTTTTTGTACTTATGAAAATGAAAGATAAAATGTTCATTCAGAGGCTAATGTCAGAGGCAATATAAGGGGCAGTGATTTCTACAGTACTGTTAAGCTCTTTAAAATGAACTACCTCTTTTTTTGTTCCAATAACTGTTTATGATGCATAAAAATGTCAGACCATCACATAGAACACTTATGATGTATGCGTCATTAAAAATCAAAATTTTAAAGATAATATTAGGGACATGTTAAATTTTTTACTTACCTTTGAAAAATAACAGTTCTTAGGATTTTATTCTCAGAGCTACTTTCCCTGCTTTTTATTGCTATCCTTTTATGTTACCATGGAAGCAGAATCTATTTTTATGGTTATTTAGCTTTGAATTTTTTTAAGTAGCCCAACCTATAAAAATATTCAAATTTCTCTCTTGTTTTTACACAAAAGTCCTAAGAAATGTTCTCACTGTATTTTAGCCTTTCTGCTTAGTAACTCAGTTACCTCAAAGAGCATACTTTATGTTGCTTGACAATTATACCTTAACTAATTCTTCCTGTATAGCAATTTTTGTGGGTGGTTTTTGTTTTTTGCTCTTAGAAATATGTAGAAGAGGGGCCTCCCCAGTGAAGCAGAGGGTTGAGCTCAGCACAGGGAAGCTGTCCGCAGCCTCAGCAGCCCAGGTTTGATACCCAGCTGGCCAGGGAGATTCCCACATGGCGCAGCAGACCTCTCCTGTCTCGCCTGCTGCTCCCCTCAGCAGTGCTTTCGGTCCATCTGCCTGTTCTGCTCCCCACTCTGTCTCTGGTGAATCCTCTCACCCTCCAGCGCTTCTGGCCTGTACCCCAGTTCTTGTATAAATAAATAAATCATTTTTAAAAAAAACAGAAATATGTAGAAGAAACTTACTTTTCAATTGTTGGAAATGTTTTTCTTAAACATTGAAATATCATCCCAGCACCTGGCACAGTGCATGGGCTGTGATCATCCCCTAATAAATACTAGTCAAGTAAGTATTGATAGATGAAAGATGTGGGAAGTTTTTGTAGCAGGTAGACTGCATAAAGAAGAGAGCAAGTGCAAAATTATATAATACAATAATTGATCATCTTGAAATATTCTTTTCAAGAATTCAGTAATAAAAACTTTCTTCCTCAAAGCATAATGACAAAATTAGGGCCTCCCCTGGTGGTGCAGCGGTTGAGTGCTGGGTTGCGAGGCTGCCTGCAGCCTCTGCAGTGCCGGTTTGATCCCTGGCCACTGGCAAGGGTCCCACAAAAAAAAAAAAAAGAAGAAGAAGAAGAAGAATGACAAAATTACACAGTTCATTTGT